GCGCTATCTGGTTATTCTTGCCTTTGAAGGATTCTAACTTGAGCTTCGGAGCCCTTACGCCGGGTTCTCCCCAGAGCTTCTCTTCTCCTCCCGTTTCAGGTCTCTGTTACTCAGTTCAGAGGCAAGATCATCGACAGCTAAGACCGGCCAGATTGTGCATCATCAATAATATATTAACACCCGTTAATTTATTTTGTATATATTTTATATTTTCTATGAAGATTAAAAATGATAATATATTAACACCCGTTAGTTTGTTTAATATCAAATTAATGACATGGTGAATTTTAGAGAAGCCCATTTTCCCATTTCCTAAAAGAGAAGCCCTAGACGCACATGCGCCTATGCGGCCACGTCGGCTTTGACCTCCATAGGTCTCTAGTTCTAGTTCGAACCATTCTGAGGTTAAAAGATCAACCCGGTCAGAACCAGTTGGTTCACTCGTTAAATCGCTTTGGGCTCACTGGGTCAAACCATAACCAAAGACGAGTAAATAAAATGTAAAAAATGACGGGACCGAAGTAAAAGAGAAGCTCATCAGGGGAGGGGTTGTTTGGAAATCGGAAGCATCAATGGCAACGGCGGAGAAGAAGAAGAAGAAGAACAAGGTGAAGGAGGGGCATAATCTTCTGGGTTCGCCGACGTTCGAAGAGCTCGAGAACGGTCGATTCAAATGCTTAGAAACCGGCCATGAGCTGGCCGCCAAGGACAAAGAGTCGTACAGTCAGAGCAAGCGCTGCCGATTGGGTCTTATTGATGCTGCTTTATCTCAGAAAAAACCTCCTCTCAACATGTTCAAACAAGACCCTCTCTGTAGGTAAACCCCTTCCTGCTTAAAGGGTTTTAGTGGTTAGGGTTCGCTCCGTATAAAAAATTCAGCAAACTTCGGTAGCAAATAAGAATTCCTGCTGATGAGATGATTGGGTTTTTCTGTTTCTCCCTAACTTTATACCTAGAATGCTATTTCATTTCTGAATTGATGCATCTCTCAAGTTCCTTTTTGAACGGTATTGCAGATCAAAGTTAATATGTAAACTAACGGGGGATACCGTCAATAAGTCTGAGGAACATATATGGAAACATATAAACGGGAAAAGGTTCCTTCATAAATTGGGTTAGTTTCTTTCTTTATTTCCTTATTTCGGTTTGTTTGTTTGTTTTTTGAAGTGCGACACCGTTGCCTCTTCGCACCTGCAAAAATTGCACTAGATTTTATTCAATCTTAGGAATCAGAATATTCTTTTCCCTACCTTATTACTTCTCTACGTTTTCGTTGCCTTTTGTTTTCTCCTAAAAGTGTGTGTTGAGGCTTCATCCTTGTAAATTGCAATGCAGGAGTGCTTTCTGACACACTATTCAGGATACTTTTGTGCTCATAGTTTAATATACGTTAATTCTAAATATCTATGTATTTTTTCTTGTATTCTGAAGTAGCGGAATTTTTGGAACAGAGCAAAAGGAAGCAGAGAATCCAACATCAAATGGAATGGCTGTAGAAGATGCTAAGCAGCTACCTCGCAAGCTGTCAAAACCAAGTGCCAGTGGTTTGAAGAAGGATAGAAAGAAAGGAGTTCAGAAGGATGACTCTCAGGAAATTAGGCCTATTGATGACGGTAATTTGGTAGAACCTGACTTCTGGACCCCTCCTGTGGGAAGCCGTTGGGACTTTGATGATGGGGGAGATCGATGGGGTTCTGGTACAGACTCAGAGCAAGAAAGTGATGGAGGTGATATAGTGGGTAAGCATCATGCTGCATCACATTGGAATTTTGTTTGTGTTGCATTTTAATTGAGTTATGCAAACCTGGGATTGAATTATAGGACTTCAATATATGATGAACATATGCATGCCTGTATGGGTGATGGAGTGGCATACTCAACATCGACCTGGTGGTGTGCCTCTATCGTTTGAGAGAATAAACAATCCAGACCTGATAGTGCGTGAATTCAACAGCTAATCTTCAAACTGGGGTTTCATCTAGTTACCTAGTAGCAAATTGTGGCTTAAGTAATTGGTCAAGCTGGGCTTGGACATATATTTCATCCTTTTTCATGTTGCCCCTTCTCACATTCTCAACTTTTTAAGTGAGATCACCTGACCATGATTGTCTTTCTCTATGTTGAAATGTTTTTATTTTCCAAGACAAATGAATGTGGAAATTTGGGCATCATATTGGTAAGTAGTTTCATAGGAAGAAGTTTCCTGTAAAAAATTTATTTCATGGAAGAAACCTTTTCAGTAACTTAAAACCCAGGATATAGAAACCCCGAATCCAAGAGTTTGAGTCCAGCTAGTTAAAAATGTCAGGATTTGCATGTGTACTAACTTGACTTGGTCTCCTCTTTCCTGAAATGCTCTGATTTCTGGATCAGGTGTCTTAAAACCTTAAAACAGTATACCAAATGGCACCATATCACTGCTTCTGTCCTATAATCAGAAATTTGAATGATCAAATCTGAATAAAAAAATACAGTTTGATGTGTCATTTATTTCCTTGATGTCAAGATGGAAATTGAGGAATATCTTTTGTTTGTGTCATCCAAATATGTTTCACATTCTGATAGTTTCTCATCATTACTAGCAGATGAAGATGGTGGTATCAAGGCTGAGGAGCTCTCTACACGGTATGCATCCTATACTTATCAAAAAGTGCCTTTTCTTTTATTTCCTCGTACTAATATGCAAATTCCACAATTATCTTGATTTGCAGGACAAAGAGAATGTCCATAGAAGTTGGACCCAGTAGCTTTGCTTCCAGAAAGAAGAAGAGTAAGACCATCTCCACACAAGAAAAATGTCCATGATAAGCAGATAAGATGTTTTTCCAATCAATGTGTCATCAGAACGAAGTTTACTTTGAGCACTTATCATTCTGTCAAGGTCTTCTACGAGGCTGAAACTTACATGCGGACAATGGTAGAGGCTATACCGCTAGAGAATGTGCAAAATATGCATTTTGAACCGATTTACTATAAATGAAGTTGATTTACTTGCATGGTGATTTATGACAAGAAGTCATTTTTTGGTCATTGCATTATAATTTGTTTTATATTTTTCCAGTATAATTTGCGTGGTTGGTTTGTCAAGCGGCATGAACTTGCATCTATTCACTAATTGAGAGAGGTGAGTGTTGTCTTGTCCTGGCTCCTGGGGTCTTAGTGGTGTAGTACGGAAACAAAACATGTTTAGAGAAGCTTAAAAAAAAAAGCAGAAGTCGAATTACCTGGAAGAAGAATTGAAAGTTTCTTAATCTATGAAAACACTCCATAATAGAATCCTAATAAAATTTTTCAAAAAGAAAGTCTTAATTGAATACAAATTTGAAATCTCGTTATAACGCTAATTTGGTAATTACGAATTAATATAGAAATTTTGTATTGGTGTTAATTTGGTAAAAACAAAGTAAGATAGAAATTTTGTGATTATGTTATATCGATAAATATTTATTAAATTAGGTTGGTGGCGTCGTTTCTGCTTCTTATGTGTCTTGGAATGGTTCCAACTTGTATAAAACTTATTAGCTTTCTTTTGTGCTACATCATTTTCTCCTTATATATACGAAGAGGGATCTTTAAAAACCAACTTTGTAAATATTTACTTAATTGGTCTGAATCCTATACTGCATCACTTGTGAGATATTTTTGTACCCTCAGAGTCGGAAGTCAGACTACACAAAACAGTGGAAAGTTGTATTCCCCCCCCCTTTGGTGTGACCTTAATCATGGTTTTCAAAACTGGACCAGACTGAACGGTTGGACCGGAAAAATGAGAAACCGGTCAGGTGACCAGTTCCATTTTCCCCAAAAACCGAATTTTCCCCCAAAACTGTTGATTTTGGTCAGTGAACCGCTGGATGGTTAACCGTTTGAATGGTTTCAACAGTTTTGACTGTTTTATTTTTTGATTTTTTTTTTGTCAAAACGGGCCAAGCGTTCAGTTTGAACTGTTTTCAGTGGTTTTTATTCGATGCCAGATCAGGACTCCCCTAGTTTTGGGAATCAGTCTTCTTTATTTGAGCATAGTTTTGACATTTGGGCTAATTACCGTTGATTGTGCATAAAAAAATTTAGGGTCAGTTTGGTTCACGGTTGGAATCAAAATCACCTATTTGGTTCACCTTACAAACAGCTAGAATCGCCATTTCCATTCCAATTATACTCTATTCCTGTTTAAACCAAATGGACCCCTAGTTTTAATTTTTAAAAGGGCAACCATAGTTCCAAAGAGTCGCGCAACATTTCAAGAACGAAAGTAAAGTTGGCACTAGTTTTTTGCTGAGAAGTTTAGCACAAATTATTTCAATTCATCATCGATCAATTTTTGTTGAATTTATTAATATTGTTCATATCAAATTTTAATCCGAACCCATGATTCCCAATATTAATGAATCAAATTTAGATCCAAGTATATCTCATTTTATTCCATCTGTTTGCAGCCCTAGCTGCCCATTCCTCAGATTCAGCAACATGTTTAGATGCATAAGCCATCAACTTATAATACAACAAAACAAATACGGTAGCTCTAGTTCCTTTTTGGAGATCCTCGCAAACAGACGCTTTTGTCTTTCTGTATTTGGCCTTGTTACAACTTAAGACATTTCTTTCCCATTGCCAGATTGCCCAAGAATTTCGTTGACCAGCTTTTCTGGCAATTTTCCTGTTGCCTGCAAAACCAATCCATAAACGCCCCTGTAATATCTGAAAGCTAAAAATGCCTCAACTTGTGTTTCGACTATCAACTATCAAGATGAACTAGAGATCTTAAATAAACAAACCTGGAAGTGTCTCATGTGCAAAATAGGTTCACATCCAACATCTGCAACAGGTTTTCCAAGTGGGGTTTGTGAACTAAATCGTCCTGCTTCATAGGCTGAAAGGATATTCTTGTCATCAGGTAGGTGGTGGCAAACTCTCAGTAGTGAGCTAAGTGAATTCATCTGGTACACAGTAACTTGAAATGAGAACCCCAATCTCCTTGATCCATAAAAGATTGAAGAGCAGAGGCAATAAAGTCTTTTTTGGGTAAACAAGGCAATAAATAAAGTTCAGGCAAAGCATTTAAACCACTGAGCTAGATTCACAGATATTATGAGATAATAAAACGACGAACACAAATCTCAACCCTACAATTCTCTGGTAGTTTTCATCCAGTGCGAAGTTGGATGTTTCATAAGGTGATAAAGAGGAGCCTCCTTCAAGGATGGCTCAGAGATCAGAAGACATATTCAGGTCATGGGATCAAAACTGCAGAAACCTTAGAAACTACACATTCTACTAAAAGTCAATAAGATCGCTTTCAAACCAAAACCTCATAGTCACCAAACATTTGTCAAAAGAAAAGGTCATTTTTCTTTTTAGGTTAGGAAATGATAGTTCTGGGCAAGACGGGAATTGCTTACAAGAAAATACCTGGAAGGCTGGAACAAAAAAAACAAGAGGTAAAAAATACATGATAACATGAATGAACCTAAATTGTGATCGGTTGTATTTTCTTGAGAGCTTAAAAAGACAAGATTCTGCATAATACTGTAATTGAACCAAAGACATTATTTTTTTTTAGATTATAAGAAACTATTTTTTAAGCAAAAGGTATCGTATTGATTCATTGGAAATGATATTGGATGTACAGCGAGCCACTATACAAACATTTTGCGTCTCCTATGCTAACTGTGAGGCGGTAGTGATGTGGTTTATGCCCTGAAAGTCTGAGGAGGATGGTCTCAAACTGAGAAGGGGAAAGAAGAGGAGAGGAGGGGGGGGGGGAGAGAGAGAGAGAGAGAGGTCTAGGATGTGGATCTGAAATGAGGAAATGGGTAAAAGCCCTGAACTTGGTGTGGGTTACGTATTTATAGACAGCTGGATATTTCATAACTTTCTTAGATTTTCCTCTTTACTATTTTACCCTTGATTATTCTGGAATATCCTTCAACCGATTTCAGCACATCTGCACATGTTAATTAAAATCAAGATTACTCTAGAATGTTATTTCTTAATTAGTGCAATGTCTTTATTGTTATTCTGGAACGTTCTTATTCCAAAAAGGCTTTTGATTATTATTTTGGATTATTCCAGCACTTAGTATGCCTTTTGATTACATGAATAAAGACAGACCGGTCTGCCCCAAGTTTATGTTGGGTTGACCAGGTTTTTATGATTCCATCATCTTACACTGACCATTACAAAAACAAAATAACAAACAGTACCGCTAAAAGATCAACAAAAAATTTGTTGCACAATTAGAAGTTCAAAGACCTCAAAAGTACCAGAAGATCAAACATCAAAATCATTATGACTGAATCTAAATACCAAATTGTTGCAATCAACATGGGAAGGAGGATGTGGAGGAGATGACTCTTGATAGAGTGGGGAAATGTGAAAAGATGGGAGATTTATAAAATTTGGTGGAAGTGGAAGTTCAGGTTGAGGTCAAAGAGGAAAGGGGAGAGGGGGGAAGGAGGTGGTGGGGAGCAGAGTTGAAGAGATTCTAAAGGAACATAACACTGAGGAGGGAATGGGTATTGATCGTTTGGTGTGGCAATAGGGAAGTCTCAACGTTTTCTTTTTGGGGGGAGAATAGGTGGTGAGAGAGGCAATTGAACACTTTGAAAAAAAAGGAAGAATATAATAAGAGGAAGGCAGTTGAGGAAGGGAGAGGGTTTGGAGTTTGGTTGAAGTTTCTTGTTTCAGTTGCTCGGGATTTGCCTTCTTGTCTACAAGGATTTGTCTTAAGTTATGGTTTTATTCCTTTTGGTCATGTTGGGGAATTTGGGGTGTTAAGTTGTATTTGGGTCAGGTTGGGTGTTAAGATGTATTTGGACCAGTTTTGCTTTGCTTTTGGGTGCCTTGTTTCTTAGTTTGTCTGGAGGCATTGCCTCAACACCTAAATGCATTACTACTCCAGCATGTATGTTTTTTAATAGTTAATCTACTTCATCATATACATGAGATGACTAATTCTAGCAACCTTTTTCTTCCAGTAACAATCAAAGATTTTATTAAAAATTTGTAAGAATAAAAAACAACAGGCATGCTCAGCATCCCTTTCAAATGCTAGCTTTAGCCCCATTTGTACACCATCACAATTCCCCATCTGTACCTCAGGGTCCAGTTATTCTACAAAAACTTCGCTGGAGCTGAGACTGGAATTTTATTAAAATATAGTTCACTAAGAAAATGAATACACTTACCTTCATATATGGACAGGATGCACAGCCTCCATGAAGAGAGCACCCTTCCCCACTAGAAACACCAGGAACCACTCTGAGTGTAAGTTGATGTCTTGATTCAACAGAATTAAGGCCTTGTGATGTATCCTTTGATGTCCTTGACAATGAATCTGATGAAACGGGAAATACAATTTCAACGTTGATGTTTGCTCTTCCAGATGGGAATTCAGTGGAATTTAATAGTTTGCGAATTGCTGCAACAATTGAGGTCACCATTCCTGATTCTGTTCCTAAAACGAACTGAAGGTGGTCATCCAGATTTCTGTCCAATGCCTCCTGGACTCTTGCTTTGATGAAATCTAGTATGTTTTGGGTGGATCCTACCACTCCCATTCCTCTTTTTTTTGCTTCCATTGCGAGGGAAAACATTTCTCCTGGGACTTCAAAATGAGCTGTTAGGAATGCATCACAGTATGTTTCCTGTATTTTTTCCACAACTTCATGTCCAAAAAGGTCATGAACGATGCATGCACCATCCTGCAATTGAAAATCCATATAAGCTCCATAGGATGATGATGATGATAATGGCGGCACATGATAGAACAGGAGGTAGCAGCATTCCAGTTATTACCAAAGAAGGCATTGAATCCCAACGAGAAAATAAACAATATAAGTTGGACTAGAAAATCACACTGGCACAGATTAGACAAAACAAACAACAGATATGACCCACAAATTGGTTGCAAAGAAGTCATACCAAAGAGAATACACTATGAAGCTATATTCAAACTCCCAAAATCAGATCCCCAAGACTGGATAAATCTACACCTAATCTAACCTCATTTAAGGCTTCTAGACTTCCATTCAAAAAATGGCAAGTCCGGTTGAGCTTGATGTCAATTCTAAACAATTGCTAGTAGGCCAAATACACTACAATGAAAATTGTTTAACAATAAAGAATTAAGCTGTCCATGCATACAGAATGGAGAAAAGGTTGCTGATGAAGATGAATACAAAAGCTAAAGAAAACCAAATCAGAAATGAATGCACACAAATGTAACAAAGGTCTGAAGGAGTATAACCAAGGTAATTAAAGAAAAGTCAAGAAAGTAAGGTCATGTGCAATAATGAGAACAAAAAAGCAATCCTGTAAGAAGAGTTTTAGATGTTGTAAAATAACAACAGGAGGTTGAGATATAGAAAATTTATAGACCCATGCTTTGAAAATGGTCCTAGATAGGGTATGAATGGTTAATATAGCCAACTGCAATTGATTCAGATAAGGCTCAGAACATAGTTTTTAAGGTGCTGAGTCAATGCTGGGCAACAGCAGAATGCCTTGTTGCCTAGGTGACTAGATACCAACCTAGGCATCGATTTTTTATATACAAAAAATCTGGTTAATTATAGCTTGTTTCCCTGTTTTCTTAATAAATTATTTTGTTCCCCTAGCTAGTCCAGCAACTAGAAAACAATAAAAGTGAACTAACATGAAAGAATCAAGCATTAAAAGTATAACTAAAACAACATAACACAGCCTATGAAAACCTAAGGGATGGATTATTTCTTTTTTGTCTTCATGGAGCTACACAACCAGGGAGTAGCCCTTCCCCCATACCCATAATCCCCAACCCTGGTGACAACGGGATTTGATCCCAAGTCTCCACTACAACTAGCCAGAGAATTTACCAACTGAACCACCAACCATTGGTGGATTATTATCCTGTTAATGCAAGGAAATAAGGAGAGAATGAAACTAAAGAATAAGAGAAAATAAACATATTTAGGGCCAGAGCCTTTGTTATTTTGAATATGACAGAGACAAAGAAAAGAGAATGCGCAAGTGCATTTAATGTAGCAAAAATAGAGAAAACAAGCACATGAAGGGAAGGAGACATTATTTTAAATACAGAGATATAAGGGGGAGAGAGAGAGAGAGATGGTACAGTGGTTTAAAAGGTGTGCCTAGGCGCTCAGGTGAGGCACATTTTAGGGTATGTGCCTCGCCTAGGTCCTAGGTGCAGACCTTTCAAAAGGCACACAACTGGTGCACCTAGGTGTGCACCTGATGCGCCTTGCGCCTCGGCCCAGGTGTGTGCCTTTTGAAAATTTGACACTTTTTTGCTTTTTTTGAACCTAGCGGCTGGGCCAGGGGCTCCGCCCCCGGACCCCATGCCACACTCCTCAAGGGCTCCGAGAACCCCCTATTTGCTAATGTTGTTCATTCATTCATTCTAATAAAATATCTTCTTAAAAATCAATTAAAATTATAAAATCATTATTTTTTGTTTTGGAACTAATAATTTAAGACCGTAACATAGACTTGTTTGGGCTTGCCTTGAGGGGCATGGCACAAAGGCAGCTCGTAGAATCAGGAATGTAACATGCTTTACATCACATTAGCTACTTAAAGTAATGCAATTGAGGAAAAAAAAAAGAGATTGTGGGTTTTACATGCTTGTTTTTATTTTTAAATTTTCATTTGAATACGCTTTACATGTTATGTTTATGTATTTTAATTTTACATAATAGGTTTTTTAGAACATTTATTTTAAAATTTAAGGTTATATTTTTATTAATATTATGTTTAATATTTTTTTGATTTTTTGGTTTTTTTTTAATTTTCTGACTTTTTTATTTTTTACCTTTTTTTTGTATTTTTGCGCCTTGCTTCAAAAAGGCGCGCACCTCACCTTGCACCTCGGGCACAAATTGGCCCCTGCGCCTTGCACTTTTAAAACACTAAGATGGTAAAAAGACATGAATAGGGAAGGCCCTTATTCAGGTTGCAATTATAAATACAGACAGGAGTGATTACAAAAGGATTAAAAAACAAGAACAAAATAAGGAGAAAGCCCATTTATGGGATCTCTAACTTGAAAATTGATCTTTTCTGATGCCCTTATTCGGGTCATTATTAGAAAGCAAGACACAAGTCAATCCTAGAAGAATGCCTTACCACCTAGGCACAAGGTGGTGCCAAGGTAACCATGTTTCAGGAGATGATGATCACTTAAAATGGTTAACAGAAATCCTAATTAAGCACTAGAAATATCTAATACAGAAGATAGTTGTCTATACCAAGCTCGTTAACCAAGAAATAAACAAATTAAAAGTTAATGCTTGTAGAAAATTTATATGTTTAGAAAGCTAAATAGAAAAGAATGTTATAACGAGCAAGTGTGGGAAATGGTGAATTTCCTTAATGGGGATAAGGCCCACGGCCCAAACAGATTCACTAGCCTCTTTTATAAGAAATGTTGAGATGTGATCCAGTCGGATGTGATGAAGGGACTAGAGGAATTCCAAAGAAATGCTTCTCTAGAATGCAGTTTGAACACAACCTTCATCATACCCATTCCAAAAGGTGGAGAGAGCTACAGAAACAAAGGACTTCAGTCCTACAAGTTTGTTGAATGGTTACTATAAAATTATAGTGAAGGTAGGTGTTGGTTCAAACTTAAAAGACTGAAGAAGGTATTGGGGACAATCATCTCAGAACAGCAAAATGCCTTTGTGCTGGGTAGGCAACTCTTGCATGGTATTTGGTAGCAAACAAGCTTATTGATTCAATGAATAGGGAGGGCAGACCAGGCATCCCATGCAAGATCGACCTTGAGAAAGCATACGCTGACATAAATTGGAGTGTTAGGATAATGTCCTGGAAAAGATGAACCTTGGACTTCACCTAAAGATGATTTTATCATACTCAACTTTGACAGGAGTAGCCAAGGTAACCCAGGTCCTTTGGGTATGAGGGTTTCTTCAGAAACAAGGAATGAGGTATTGTTGCACTGTTTTCAGAACCTGTTGGTGTGGGGGACTCAGCTACAGCTGAGCTTCTTGCTGTACTCCAAGGGGCACAGTTGGTAAGACAGATGAATATCAATAAGTTGGTCATTGAAGGGGACTCAAAGATGGTTACAGGATTCAGAAGCAGTAATATGGGCTTATAGAGAGGAATTAAAGAGATTTAAATGGCTCACCTTGAAAATCCAATGGAAAAGAAGATCCACTAATGGATGGCAGGTACTCTAGCCAAGCAAGGGGTTAATAGGGATTATTTGTTTTGAGCTCATTTGTAACTTGTCTTTTGTTGACAGGGAGATCCTGGAGAGGTTGCAACTCACACCCCACCTTGGGTCTTGTTACTGTTTTGCTTAATTTCTCTTAACTTCTTTACTTGTCAAAAAAATGAACTTTAAAGAGAGAGTATCTCTTTTAAAATGGAAAAAAAAAACAGTATGGTGGATCACTTTTATAATTGTTATTCTTTAGTGTTTCCAACTTGCAAGAGAAATTACATTTGTGGTTAAATCACTTAAAAGCTGAGTAAATCCTACTTAAATAATTGTCCTACCCGAATTTTTGGAACACTGCAGTTAATAGGGGCAAGAGTCATATAGCAGCATAAGAAATTAAGTCAATGGTTTCTATATCCAAGGCTTTAAATATTGATACAGTCCGATATGCCAGATGGGGCATATTGGACTTGTATCAAGGCACTTCACACTTTCTTTAGTTTCTTATTTCAAACCTGTTCGGGGGGGGTCAGTATAAGGCCTATCTACCCCTCGAAATAGGACAAACCCTGAAACACCCATTATTTCGTGTATCGGTGACCTACTGATACGATATGTATCAGCCAATACGTTGCAAAATTTTAATCCTTGTCTACATCTAATTTTGAACAAGGATGAGAAGTGGTTGGTCCAGGAACATCAGGACTGAAAATATGAAAATGAAAGTCCTAGTATGATTAAGTTGGCCAACATAATTACAAGATACCTATCAAAAGTTGTACCAAAAAGTGAACTAGAAATCACCTGATAGTAATGCAAGCGAGGTAACAATGATCTTATAGAGTCTCTATTATGTGCTGGATGTATCTCAGAAATTTCTTCATTCGTCATGCTAGCCATCTGTTGAAACAACTCTGCAATGTTTGCTCCCATGTAGGAATCTGGGCCATACCATACATGTAAATTTGGTATTTGTGCAAAAGCCTGATAGAACAGAAGTTGCATTTAGAGATAAAAGAAAGGAAATAAATATAAGCCCCCCCCAACAAATTTGCAACATGTATCAATTATTTAATGAACAAACTGAATCTAAGAAATATCATTTATAAAATTATAATATATCAAACTATAGAATAACGTTGCATGCAATAACCAACCTGCAGAATAGTTGGTACAACATTAGAAGAAGTACAGGTGACTGTTGGCACAAGTTCATGGGCACACGCTTTTGTCTCTAGTGAAGTGTTAATGTAGATAACATGCAATGAAGGGGGTGACAATGAAGCTGCCTTGAGGAAGCCCATGTATGTAGGACTGGCTGCTGCATCTGCCAATGAGCAACCAATGCGTTCATCTGACATCCTATACACAACAACCTGCACACACTCACAATCATGACACTGCTAAGAATTGAAAAGAAAAAAGAAAGAAGAAAACAGAAAACATGACGAGTAGTGGTTTACCTCACAAAGTCTACATGCATGTAATGACAGTTTCTATGAGAACAACAGGAAAAAAGCAATCAATAAGGAAATATGCCTCATCTAAGACCAAGACCAGCAGAAAGTTGTTATTGGCATCAATAGCCAAGCTGATCAACTTTTCTATAAAGATAATCTAATTAAACATCATGGCTGAGCATCATAAATGAAGGACTTTCTCGGAAGATCAATCATCTAATCCTAAGATCTGGCCTAGGGAACACCATATTTACAAACTTACAGTGTAATGCTAAATTTCCTACAGAATCTGCAAATAGCCATCTCATGAATGTGATTCAGGACCCCTAGAAACTAGAACAACATAAGCATTTTGCTTTTCTCAAAAGGCTGATGAAGTTTATTATCTTTTGGCAAAAGAGGGCAATGCTTTATTTTCTTGCTCCATTATCTATCTATCTATCCATTTAGGGTCTTGGGAGGGGTGGACTGGATGTGGACTTAACCTTTGGCATCTTCTTGTATAAAGTTGCCATTTTTAGACTTGATCCTGTGTTTTCACACTTGTCAGTCTGAGATTTTATCATTGCACCAAGTAATAGCTCCTATTTTTCCATCCATTAGTTTCCTTTCATATATTATTTTTTCTATCAACAATTGCTCATTGTGGAAAAATAACATCTTGGATGAATGCCATTTGAGCTGTAAAACTGAAATAAATGATCCACATGCTAGAGAAACTCATATACTGAATACAGTCCAGCAGTTCTAGAGATGCATAGGAGGAAATTCAGCCAAAATTAGTACAAACAATTGAAAGCATGTTAGAACATATCACTGGAAAAGCTGTATCCTTAAGAACTCATGGACTTCAAAGCTACCACATGCAATCAGAGGAATCAAAATAGCAGGTCAGACTGTCAAGTTTCCAATACAGTGATACACTGATAGATATGTGAAGAGTTTATTAGAAAAAGGTTAAGAGGTTAGGTGTTAACAAATACAATACGCCAAAGGTAGGGTTGTTAATGGTTTCGATCAACCCTATAGGCCTGAACTGATCCAACCATATTACATAGCTGGGTATGTAGAGCCCCCGCTGTAATAGTGTCAGGATAGGGTTTATTTGACAGATCTACCGAGAAGAACAGCAAATCCCAGTGTTTTAAAAGAGCAAGGCGCAGGGGTCAATTTGTGCCTGAGGCGCAAGGTGCAAGGTGAGGCGCACGCCTTTTTGAAGCAAGGCGCAAAAATAAAAAAAAAGTCTGAAAAATCAAACAATATTAATAAAAAATGTAAGCTTAAATTTTAAAATAAATGTTTTAAAAACTTATTATCTAAAATTAAAATACATAAACATAGCATGAGAAGCATATTCAAATGAGAATTTAAAAATAAAATCAAACATATAAGACATTTTCAAGCATGTAAAACCCACAATCTCTTTTTTTCCTCAATTGCATTACTTCAAGTAGTTAATGTGATGTAAAACATATTACATTCCTGATTCTACGAGCCACCTTTGTGCCACACCTTGAGGCAAGCCCAAACAAGTCCATGTTAGGGTCTTAATTCTTAGTTCTCACAAAAAAATAATCATTTTATAATTTTAATTGCTTTCTAAGAAGATATTTTATTAGGATGAATGAATGAACGGGGTCCGGGGGCGGAGCCCCCAGCCCAGCCGCTAAGTTCAAAAAAAAGCAAAAAAAAGTGTCAAATTTTCAAAAGGCGCACGTCTGGGCTGAGATGCAAGGCGCACCAGGTGTACCAGGCGTGTGCCTTTTGAAAGGGCTGCGCCTAGGACATGGGCGAGGCACCTACCCTAACATGTGCCCCACCTGTGTGCCTAGGCATGTCTTTTAAATCACTGGCAAATCCCCCAAAATAAATTGATTTTTCATTCCCTAGGATCTCAAAACTGTGGATTGATTTAACATATACACTCAGTGTCAAATTCCATCTCGAATCTATACATTTTGTGCGTGTCGAATGTGGATGTGTATGTACAGATTATGCAACATAATCTGCTGAAATACTGAAAGAATAAATAAGGAAACGAGTACCTTTTCAAAACCAGCCTGATCAAGGATTGCACGCACATTTTCTGACATGAAATCTACACCCAGAACTGCAATAAATTGGCATCCAGCTTCTGCCATCTTGACAGCCTTATCTGCCATAACTAATGAATCAGATATATGGATGTGAGGCCAGTGCTTCTGTGCAGCAGTTAAGACCCCTTGGACCTCTGGATCCATATAAAAGTGTGCCACTACACCAATCCTCTTCTCCTTTAGCACATCTACAAGTTCGTTAACCTTTAACTGGTCAGGGAACAAAAACCTTGCCTGCAATTAAACTGCAATGGTACTTAGGATTCTGAATTGCTAGGAAAGCCATTGGAGTAACAACAGCAAAAATTGATACAATATTTCTTTAGGTGAATTGAGCAACAAATCCGAGGTAAACTCAATTGCCAAAGCCTGATTTTCCTTTTACCAGAATAGAGTTCATCTCATGGACATAACAATTTGTTATTGACCATTAAAGTGTCAGGGATCAGAAACAAGTCCCAGTAAAAGCATAAGCCAGAACTAATAAAGGATGTTAACATTTTGTATGGTCCAACTTACCTATATAAAAGAGACAAACAGGACAAGGGAATGGATTTTTAAATTAGACTTAATAATAACATTCAACCATTAAAATTATTCTCTTTCCTTAGGTATCCTAAGTGTTTAAATGAATAGGTAAAATAATTCTGTATAATATTTTTACCCTCTCGAGAAAAACTAAAAGATTCAACATTTTAATAGCTTCCATTGATGTCTCAATGTAATAAAAGCAAATCCCTCAGAGCTCACAAAATCCAGTTACTCCAACTGGTTAAAAAATAAGTTTATGCGATACCCTATGGACGGACTCAAAATTTGATATAAATGCAACTAGGCTTGGGCCACACCTAGAATCCCAACATTTCTTTTGTTTTGTATCACTTGTCCCAAAACTTATTTTTAGTTACTATTTATGAACTGATCGCATCAGAATCTCAAGGATATTACAAGTTGACAGCATCCATCGCTCCTATATGATCTTCAGGATTCATGCTATTCAACAAAAATAGCTGTTGATGTAGGATTTCCAGATACACAATTAACAGAATAAGTGAGAATAGTATACACGCATAAGGAACCTATAAGTGGAATATGATTCTGTACAATTTTTTCCCTTTTGCTATGCAAACTCGGGAGTGCTTGGGAGGGTGAACTCCACCACCCAACCCAACCCCCCCCCCCCCAAAAAAAAAAAAAAAAAAAACATCCAGGTTGTTTCGAGATTTGAGATTTCAACCTTAAATGTCTAGAAATGTTCCTATCGATAAAAAAACAAAAAAAGGTTCTAGAGAGGTTCCTTTGGTATTTTGATTCTGAAAATTCCTAATTGTTGAATCCAAGTCTTTCTTTTTTAGTATAAACATAACACCTTTTGTTTGGAAACAACCCTCTTGAACCGAACAGTCATCAAGAGTTGGAGAAGTTGGTTCACAATTCAAATTCACACTATGGTTTTCTTCCTTTTCCTTTTTTTTCTTCGGAAACATGTAAATAATAAACAACTCAAATCTAAAGGCAAATGTTTGCGAACCTGAGCCTCAGCATAGCTCCCTTTGGCATTGATGTCGTCGGCTGTAACAACCAGAGATGGGAAAGGATCGATGGGAGGCTTCCCCTGTCTCGCAGCAAGGAGAGCTTTAGTCCTCTTTTTCATAGTGATCAACACGTTGTGCCACGTGTTCGCCCTGGAATGAGCGCGGCCAGGCAACCCAACATTGAGCGCAGCCAAATCCTCGGTGTTTAACGCCAATACTTCTTCCGCAGACGCTCCATCGAGGATCCAAACCAAGCACGAACAGAACCCCTTGGTGATCTCTGAATCACTATCGGCGGAGAAGTTCATCCTCCCGCACTCATCCATAGAGGCATCCAACCAAACCTGCGCAGTGCATCCCATGACTCGATTGCCCGGGACACGCCTGGACTCATCGAAGGGAGGAAGGAGAGTCGCGTAATGCAACAGCCGTTTAACGCGATCAATCGGCTCGGAAAGAGACAGGAATTCGGATACAAGGCGTTGAAGCCTAGAGATGGCATAGTCAGAAGTCCCTAAAGGAGTTTCAGTCAGTGCTGAGCAGGAGACAAACGAGCTGGGGTTCCGAGCGTTGGATTTGAGAGGAGAAGTTAAGGACGGAGAAGAGGAGTTAAGACGATGATTTGGATATTGAGTGTAGCTGATGGAGTTGGAAAGCAGTCCCGTGTCTTTCTCTCGGTAGGCTTTCAAGCAAGAAGAAGATCTACGGTTAGCGCTGGGGTTCGAAATCCTGGCAAAGTAAGCCCAAGTGGAAGCTCTCGTTGCCAAGGTTGCAGAGTCCATTCTCAGGAAACTGGAAAAAGGAATTAAATTTATCAAACTACAAAATATAAATAATAATGATAATAATGTAACAAAATCCAAACGCACGATGGCTGGTCGTCGAAGCTAAAGAAGAAAACCAAGAGTAACAGAAAAGAAGAAAGCGGAGATCCTTATAGTGCGCACTTTATTGTTACAAATGGATATACATGCAGAGGCAGAGGAAAGTTTTCAGAAGCTTGGATTTATGCAAGGCCAAGGCTTCCGCGAAAACGACAGGGACGCAGATGATGGAAGAGAGAGCAACGTGTGTGTGTGTGTGAGAGAGGAGAGAGGAAAAAGAAAAAAGGTCTAAAAGAGGTAAAGAGTGGCCGGTGGGGGGCTCAATAGTACATGCATCAGTACAAGACGACGGGTGGAGTTAACAAAATTAAAAATTCTACAGAGTACAGAACAGACCTACATTACATCAGACAAAAAAAGATTTCAGAGATCAACCTTGTCTTGTCCCGTGCCGTGCCTCTTCGCTTTTGCTGCGATCAGGTTTTAGGTGAGGCTGGCAGCTGGCTACGAGCCGAGGTGCCAATAACCGTTCAGGCTCTGAAAACTTGATCTCTTCTTTTTTTACTGCCACTAATTTCGCAAGGCTGTGTTTGGGTTGAAAACTTGAAATGAGAAAAGAATAATAGAGAAATATTTTTGCTAAACCAATATAGCCTAAAACCAGCATGGTACAGTTGCTAAGATCTCTGACTCGTTGTAGAAAATTCCAAGGATCAAATCTAGGTTGGGGTCTAAGGAAATGGGGATAGGTTGGTTAATCATACTCCATGTCTCCATTCATGTTCCCAATTTCTAAGTAACTTTCCATCTCTCTTGAAGACAAGATTTGAACCTCCATTTGCCATCCTAAATAGAGATGGGTTCTTCACCAAGTGTTGGAAACCCTAATTTATTTTTAATTAAAAAATATATAATTGAAAAAAAAGGTATACTTGAAAAGAAAAAAATCGTTGATTTTAATTGGTTTAGCATTAAACTAATATCTATTAAAAATGTATTTAAGAACATATATATGAAGGTGCATAATTATAATTATATAGAGCTATTTTCAAAATTTAAATCATAAATAATATATATATATATATATACACACACATTGCATTGAAACCCTTAATCCTAAAACTTAGTATAAAAAGCATTTAGGTCTTGTTCATTTGTATCTTTGTAATTTGTCCGAGCAAATGTTTCCTGGGTAACATTTACTTGGATAAGTGCACTTACTCATTTTCTTTTAGTTTCAAGTATTCCTAAGTAAACAAAAGAATAACATGTTTACCCATAAAAAGCTAATATAAAAATGGGCAAATTTTTCCATTAAGTTTTATAAGATTTCCCCCCATGTGAAAAAATTAATTAATCACCTAGGAAATGGATAAATTTTATCTAAGAATGTATAGTTTATTTTATCATGGTGCACATTAGTAAATGTTAAGAGAATATTGTAAAGTTTATCAATGAAAATATAATATATATATATACACCAATTGACCAACTTTCCCAAACTTACTTACAGGTAAACGAATGGTGTCTTAGCGGGATGCATGTACTCCCACCTGCTAGGAGCCAAAGTTTCTTGGAAATTTGTAATGTTTGATAACAGCTAAAGTCTTTTAGCAAATAAGTTAGTCAAAAGGTTGGGAGCTCTTGAATGGGTTCAGCTGATGTTGGGTTGATTACTGCACAAAGGAATATTTTATTATACAGTTATTTTAATCAAATAAATAATAAGTCACTCAATTCTATCATTTTGGCCATTATTAACAGAATCTTCTCCTCATAAGAATATTAGGGATGACAATTTTTACGGATAAAAACGGGGGTAGGGATTAATAGGGATCTCCAATACAGTGATGGGGAATGAAGTCCCCGCCCTGTCGTACCCCCCCTATATATTGCTCTTCTGAATCGTGTTTTCTTCTCAGTGATATTTATAGTATTGCCAATTCAAACATCAGGTTTCTTGTCGTGGGTAAAGAAGCAAAGTCTATTGGCAACAAAAGGTTCTCTGATCCAGTGTTATCTCGCTGGAGCCTCTTGAGTGGCTCCTGGATTGCTTGAATGCTAATATTTCTAGTACTGTGAGTGTCGTAATTTTCAGCCTCTCTATGTACTTTCCCCTCTTTGCTGTCTGTGTATTATCTTTGGTGTTTTCTTCTTGCAATGTTTTTTTGTTGTTCAATCATTATTTTTTTCTGTAATATCTCTATGTTGTATCCCATTATATCAGTGGCATGACAACTTTTCTTGAATAAGTTGGACAAAATATATAACTAATTAGAATTTACAGATATAATCCTACGTAACCATTCCTTAAAACATATTCAAAACAGGCATCTAAATTGCAAACAAAAGCATGGTATTTACTTTATTTAATGAGGCCATTTTAGCTAAAAGGTCAGCGATTGCATATGCAAAGTATAATTAATCGATGAGTGACAGATTTTGGCCACATCCCTTTTTTAATGATCCCCATACTTTCCTAGTGAAAAGACAGAAACCAATGTTGGTAAAAGCTGGTGCTAATTTTTGTTTTTCCAATTAATAGGGTTGTGTTTATCTTTATCAATAAAATGAGATGTGCTCAATTCACTCCATTTTATCTTTATATAATTCCACATTTTCATGTTTTTATAATACTAGTAAACATATGTGCAATATCTCTAAGATAAAACTATTTATAATTTATGAAAAGTTTCTCAAAAATTATAAGTAAACAGTTTTTGAAAGGTTATAAGGCAGGTTTTAAAGTGAGAATAAAGGAAATACATACCCTCTTTATGTCTGCATAAACAAAAACAAGGGAGATAGAAAGCATCCAGTGAAAATTCCAAAAAGAAAAGGCATTCACTATTTTATAGGTACATAGTATAGATTTGGATCTAGAATCCATAAAAATTGCATTTTAATGCTTTTTTTTTGGCAATAGAAGGCCAACAGTGCAGCTAATGTTAATATCATATATACAACACCAATAAGCAAAAAGATGAGCTATAGTGTTCCGTTCGCGTCCAATATGTTCTATCTGAACCTCCTCAAAGGATCTTAGTAAAGTGTATATATGATCTAAAAGCATTGATTCGATCCAGTTGTCATTGTATTCTTCACTTTGGGTTTTTGTCACAACTTGCATTGCATCAGAAAATATAAGGACTTTTTTGAATCCTTCCATTTTAGTTGTTTCAGGTCCTTTGATTATGGCACGGATCTCAACATCTTGGCATCTATCTGCTTGACATGGAACTCCTACAGACATTAGATGGTCCTCTTTAGACACTATAGCATAAGCTACACTTGTATGTAAGCATGAAGATTTAAATGAGCCATCAACATATATGCTAATAAAATCCGAAGGCCTGAGATGACTTGAGAAACAATTTTGCTGAATGGAAGAGCTCATGAGGTATTCTTCGTATGACAATTTTAATTTTTCCAGCACCTGTATAGGAGATGAGAATGTATTACGAAATTTGCTCGAGTTTCACTCGTCCCATATGAGCCTGAAGGTAATGCAGAATTTAACAAAGTAGTGATCAAGTTCCTTCTTACTCATATTTAGTTTGAGGCCTGTTCCACCAAGAATGAATGATCAGATGGAAAGGTTCTTGTTGAATATTTTCTGGATTGATGCCTAGTTGGGTACCACACCAAATAGCCCTAGAAACACAGACAATGGAAGAAGATATGGTGAAAGGATTCCTGTTGGGAATTGCATAGATAGCATCTATCCTCCATTTTCCTTGTGAGAAATTTGCTTTGGACAAGAGTTCCATTCCATAAAACCTTCCATATAAAGAGTTGATACCTGCATGGTATCTTTAATTTCCATAGAATAGACCATTTAAAGAAGGAATCTGATGATGAAGGCCTAATAGAAAGAAATTCCTTATAAATGGATTTGACCGAAAAAACTCCATTTTGAGATCTTGTCTAGAAAAGCTTGTCCCTTGGAATCTCACTTAAGAGTCTAACTTTTTGAACTTGTTCTAAAGATGGAGGAGGAAAGAATTGTCTAAGTAGAGGCAAATTCTAACTGTTATTATTATTTAAGAAACAAGAAACCTTCATAACTTGAAGATCCCATGGAAAACTTGGGAATCAAGGGTCTTGAAAAGGCTTTACCTTTTGACCATCATGAAGGACCCAACAAATATTGCTTTTAATGGAAGATAGCAGTTTGAAAGCTTCCCTCCACCACGAGGAATAATTCCTTTTCAGTTTGACTAACTAGTTGGTAAAGTCTCCGGCTGATTGTGGTAGATAGTGGGTCTGGATCTGTTCTTCATTGATCTCTCCTTACATTGGCTTCATAATATACATCAGCCGTACATGGGAACATCTCCTGTATTTATATGTTATTATTTATAGGAGATTCTACCAATGGTTGGAGTGAGGAACAAACTTAGCGTAAGGGAAGTACAAGTACTTTCCCTCAATTTTCTGTTTGGCTCATATTTTCATTCCAACCAAACCAAACATAGCCAAAGGAAAAAGGCTTCGAACTTGCACGCTTTTGCCTGATACTGAGGGACGGTTGGTTACATGTGCATGGACGTCATCCATGATCTATGATAAGGCAGTCAAAGTCCTTCCCTTATTTTGTCCGTCTCCACCTCAATTAATAAATCAATCATCCCTTTCTTTTTTATTTTTAACAAGAAAGACGCATCATGTATATGCTATGTTTTTCTGTTATTTGAATTTAGATTTTATGATCGGCACCAAACCCAAGACATTAATAATAGATGTTATGACCTTCATAAATACACGCATCTGTTTAATGCTTGGTCATGAAATTTAAGAAAATCTTCTATTATGTTTATCCTGGATGTCCATAGAAAAATTAGAAGATTACTCTCCTTTTTACGGGAATCATGGAAACGACTTATAAACAAAAATATTTGGGGTTTTATTTTAATGATGATTGGTTAAATAAAGCAAATTGGCAAGACATTATTGAAAAGGTGGAGAAGAGAATTCATAATTGGAAATCCAAGTTGCTTATCACAAAGCCAGTAGTGGAGTGCTCATCAAATGTGTGGTGGAAGCTATCTCTATTTAGGGGTGCAAGTTGGGCCAAGTTTATGGTTAATCCAGACTCAACCTTAAGATTTGGGCCTAAGGCTTGAGCTTAAGACGAGTTTAAGGTTAAATTTGATCTTCTCAATCCAAACTTATCCTACATAATAATTAGATGCACTTGGATTGGACTTGGGCCTAGGTTGGGCTCAAGTTGGTAAATGAACCCAAGCCTAGCCACATTGTATGTATTATACAAA